CTCCACCACTAGCCTTCCGGTCCAAGTCAGCATCATGTTTTATCTTGATTGTTGCAATAGCCTCTTAATTGGTCTTCCTGCAGCCACTTTGGCCCTGTGTAGTCTATTCTTCACAAAGCATCCCTTTTAAAAGGAGCAATCACTTAAAAATTTAAATCATGTCACTTTACTGCTTTATACCCTCTACTGGCTCACGATTTTTCTTAAAGTAAAAGTCACATTCTTTATAATCACATAAAAGATATTTTATGACTCCATCATCTATCTCTTACTTCACTCCCTACCACTCTTTCTTTCACTCACTTTGCTCCAGCCGCACTAGCCTGTTTTGCAGTCCCTTGAACACTAAGCAGACTCCTGTATCAAGTGCTTTGCACTTGCTGTTTTCTGTGACAAGAATGCTCTTTCTTCAGATATCTGCATGATGGTTCATTTTCTCACCTCTTTCTAGTCTTTGCCCAAATGCCACCTTAACATTGAGGCCTTCCCCAACATTTAGGACCCCACACATCCCCTCTTCTTATTTCACTCTTAGGCAGTGATTGGTAAAATGCTGGTAAATATTTAAGAACCCGATTGGGGGCAGGGTCCTAATTTGGAGCATTTGCTGATATCTGTGACATAAGTTCTTCCGCCATGGCCAACCACAAGCTACCAATGTGAAATCACAGAAGGCAAAAGTGGGAAAGGCTAACAGCCAACTCTCATCATCTGGCACAGGCCAGCTGAGCACACCTCTGCAGGTAAAGGAGGGAAAGAAGATACAGCATTCTCCTGGGGCTGAGTGCAATGGTGGCTATGGGGTTGATTCAAGAGAACCCCAAAGGAAGAAAATACTCACAAGGAAGGAATTTTGCTATCATAACAGGGAGCATTCAGCTTTCTCTTTTTCCAGCCACTTTTGGAACATTTAAATCTGAATATTCTGTTCACTCCTTGAATGCCACATGTTAAAAGCCAAATTCTTGACTACTCTTCCGAACCAACATTTGCTGATATTTCAGGGGACCACAATTCTCAACATCTTTGATCTCTTGCTCTTCTTTACCCTATACATGTACTCTCAGTAGTGCTGACTCTCCAGAATAATAGGACCATCATGTCCTAGGGTAATTTACCTCCATTGCCTGTGAAGACATGGGAATGCTCACAGACAGCAGTGTTTATCAGCAACTGTCCATTGCTCCTTTCTCTGGTCTGACTATATGCCATACTCCTGCCTTTGAGGGCTCTGGGAGCCACTGAGTCCATGTCATCCATCGACTTATCTTACAGATAAGTTATAGGAAACACAAGTACTTTATGATTGGCTAATGGGGGCGGGGGCGGGTGGAAGCTCTCACTCCTGGCTTGACTAGAGAATTAGAAATATATTTGGCCTTCTCACCCTGATCAAGACAGTCAGTTTTTACGTATAATCTGTTCTGGTTTTGAAGAGAAACAATGCTCGGTTAATTGGACAAGAATTGCTATATACATTAGCTTGGATTTGCCAAGGAACAGATGCCAAGATGGAGTTAGATATGCAAGAGATCTCTTGGAAGAGAGAGCAGGAGGAAAGGCAAGGAGAGCTTTCAGACTGCAATAGAGGTCTGACATCTGTGGAAGGAGAGAGGAAGAAGAGTCTCAGACTATAGTAAAGTTTCAAGAAAGATTCAAGCCTATGGGGAGTCCTTGAGACAAAGTTATCCTTGGAGGAGCCCTGCATCTCACAATATGAGCCTGCCTCAGTACCCTTGCTGTGGTGGTTGGGGACAACTGGGGGTAAGAATGACCTTGGAATGAGTGTAGTGGTGGGTCCAGAGGGGCAGCAGCTGGATATATCAGTCTTCCACCGCAGGAGATCTGAGTGGTGCATTTTCATGGCCACCATGATATGTCCCTCTGTGGACATTGAAGGAGTCTCTTGCCTATTCCCAGCTTCCATTCCCATTGCTGCAAGCTCTGTCCTGTGCTATTAGTTGTTTCTGGGAAGCAGTCTACACTGGAGATTTCAGCAGCAACCCTGGGTCACATTCGATACCTCTTGGAAGAAGTGCAAATTCCCTCTCTCTTCTCCCTACTCAGATTAGACATCCAGAACATTTTTATTTTTTGTTTCTAACCATATTTTCTGATAGTCTGAGTGGGATAGAAATGCCAGCTGCAATGAACGGCTACCCTGGTCTTTTCCAATCACTAATTTAAATTCAGTGCTCTGACAATGTCCTTTCAGTGAGGAGGATATCTGGATGACCTCATAAGTCAAAGAACAACATCCAGTCAGGTGGCATTGGTTCCCAGAATCCACCCTCTCCTTGCCTCATGTTTGGTAAAGAATTTATTTAAAAAACACTTTCCCCAGAAGAACAAATACAGTCTTCATTGATACCACCTCAACCACATCAGAGATGCTAGAGCAACCCATTTTTTTTAAGAAGAGCTTATATGAATAGACTGCTCAGCCTATTAGTTCCAAAGTAACTTTATTTGTATCTGGTTTTAGTTTTGCTTAGATTGCCTTACAGAAAGAATGCTGTCCTGCATTAGCCCTGGTTGCGGTCAAGTGTAGTCATCTTCTTTGAAGTGTGATATTAGCAGGAAAGAAGGTTGTAGGAGTCAGAGATGGGTCTCTACACAGTGGTGGTGACTTTCATGTTGATTATGGACATTCTTCTAGAAAATAATTATTAAAGGACAAACACGAGCGCATGTAGAGAAAATAGTTGTCACTCAGAGTCAGATGGGTTAAGTTTATTAGTCTGTAATTTACTCAAAAATTATTTATTTTATCTCTAGTAATATGATAAAAACAGACGTGATTTCTATCATATTAGCTCTTAGTGTCTAACAGGGGAGAGAGACAATAGCACAAACAAGCATTCTGAAATAACCTCAGTGCCTTGGCCAGACCGCTAGTCTAGGCAAATATGCTGTGCACAAATTTAACAAAGTATTGGACAGAGTATCTCATGATATTATTGAAGGCAAAGTGTCATTAATGTGGGCTGGATAATAATATAGTCCCATTTTATATTTGGGTCCAAAAAATGAACTATTCAAGAACAGAGTTGAGGATATGTGGGCCAAGATAAGCTTTTTTGGAAGAAACTTGGAGAATTTGGGGGAAAAAGCCAGCATAACTCAGCACTTCTCTATAGTGGCCCGAAGCCGCTGCATCTGGAGTCTACAGTACAGGGCATGAAGGGTTAACTGCAAACCGGAGTTGCTGCAACAGGGACATAATGGTCCAGGGGGATCACTAGTGCCACCTAGGAAACACCAGCAACCCCGTTAGGTGTGGTCTGACCCACTATCTTAGACGTTTTAAGTCACAGTCTAATTAGAAGTTGTTATCAAAACACACCACTGAATATTTTTTAAATTGTACTTTCTTGGCAGAACACCAGCAGGGAGAGGTCATAAGATATAATGCATGCCTGGATTAAGGTAAACAGCAACAAACAAGATCTCACAAATAAGTTGTTATAACTAACAATTAAAATTAGGTCCAAGTGTTTTTGTTTTATTCGGAAAAAAAAAGAAAAATATTGAGCTAAGTAACATTGAGAGCTTACTATGAGCCTAGCAATAAGCTAAATGTTTAATATGCACTGGCTCCTTTAAGACTCAGAGCAGTCTATGAGGTCAGTGCTGGTATCTGCATTTTACAGCAAGTGCTAAGTCAGAATATGAATCCAGGTCTGCCTGACTCCAGAGCTTACTCTCGATGTCACTAAACAATGCTGCCTCTTGCAAGTAAAATTTTTCTTCTTATAAATAATGACATGAACAACATCAACTTTTAAAAAACGAGAAGTGTGTTTTAATCAAGTATTTGTATAGTATAGGAAACATTATTATATATTTTCATCAGGCAAAGTATCAAGTCTATAATAATAAAAAGAAATTCCATTTTTGAAGGTACATTGCAAAAAAGTAATGACAAGTAGTACCTCCATGTTTACTGATAGTCTGATACACTTAACACAGTTTTCTCTAAAAACCAGTAAAAGCCTTATACAGTAGTTCCCCTTTATCGGCAGAAAATACATTCCAAGACCTCTGGTGGATACCGGAAACCGCATATAGTACTGAATCCTGTATATACTGTGTTTTCTCTTATACATACATACCTAAGATAAAGTTTAATTTATAAATTGAGCACAGTCAAAGATTAATAATAATAATAAAATAAGACAGTTATAACAACATACTGTAATAAAGTTATACAAATGTAGTCTCTCAAAATATCTTATTGAAAAAAATATGTATCTTATTGTACTGTACTCAACCTTCTTGTGATGGTGTGAGATGATACAGTAAAGTGATGTACTCAGAATGGTGTGCGACTTAAAACTTAGCAATTGTTTATTTCTGGAATTTTCCACTTAATATTTTTGGACCTTCGTTGGTTTGCCATGGGTAACTGAAACCATAAAAAGTAAAACCATAAATAAGTGGGGAACTACTGTATTATATACTTCAGTCTCAATTTAAAAAAAAAAAATCTAAGTCCACAGTTACATATTTTTCCTTTGTAGAATTCTGGTTTTGTGTTTATTTGATTCAGAAAGAGTTTGAGAACAAGACCTGGCTTTTCATTTAAGACTTTCTTTTCTTAGAATCTGATCCCTGGGCAGTGAGTTTTTGTGATATATATGCTCAATATACAATAGATATTTTTGCTCTGTCACTGTTGTTCACCCAGCCATCTCCATCCCTGAGTCTTTCTTCTTGGGAGAGTCAATATGCTTAGCTCTACTGTATGGACCTCGATTTCCTTAAACCAGTTATAATAATCCTTCCCTTTTGTCAGATGCCCGCTTTTCCAAACTTCCTTGCAGTCGGTGGTGGCCAAGGCACCCAGTTTTCACCAATGAGATATATGGGTGAAGTCTGCTAGGGGCGTTTTAGGAAAGTTTTTATTTTCAGATAAAGGGACAGATACCAAAGGAAAAGCTTACTGGAGCTACACTTTGTCTCTCTTCTACTTGCTTTTTATTTGAACATGCTACCAGGAAAGGCAACTTTCATTTTGGGACCATGAGGCAACACGTTGAAGCTGAGCAGAAAACAAGAAGGCCTGGATTTTTGGTCTGGTCCCTGAGCTGCGGAACCAAGCCTGCCACTGTCTACCTCCTGACTACTTAGTAGGTAAGGAAACCAAATTGTTAATTGTGTCAGCCACTGTTAACCAAGTTTTCTATTTTTTGGTATAGAAGCCTTCCTAACTTATAAGACAAGATTCCCCAATGATATACATCAAAGCAATGTTTACTTGGTCACTGCTGTTAAGATTAAAAGTCACATGCTCTTGCATTGGTGATTGTTTCACATTCTTGGGTTTGACAGGTCACTTTCAAAAGGCTGGTTGTAACATTATAATAGAAACAACTGTATAAATACACTTAGTATTTTTCATATGTATTCAATATGAAATACATTTTAGATGAAAACCTGCTACTGGCATTGATTTTTTTCCTCCAAGGATCACTTGTGAACATCTGAAGGCCCCTGAATTGGGAAAGGCTGACCTAGCAAGCCCCCATCCTCCCACTTAAAGCCGTCCCCATGGCTACAGCTCAGAGCCTGGGCATGGGTGCTGATCACAGGGAGTGTGGCTGTGGCAGAGTGCTCATTAAAGGAACCCAAACACGTTCAGAAATACGATTCCTGAAGGTTGCACTTAAAGAGTAAATTTGAATCAATCATAGACATAATGCTTTTGAGTGCTTAACAGTTGGTTTAATTAAAGCCTCCACGACACCTTGGATTGGTACTCCAGACCTGGAACTCCGTGGCCTAGAAGGGTGGGTGATGCAGTCCTAGGATGATGAAAGGACTAGGACACAGGCTGCTTCCCTGCTCACCCCTGGGAAGGCTTGCAGCGATTCCCCAGTGAAGAAGGATTGGAAGTTAACATCTGAGCTGAAGGACTTGTTACTTGTTATCAGACATAATCACGGTTAGTAAACTTTTGAGCACAACTACACTCACTTCCTTTTTCATAGTACGGGTTTAGTAATTTTCTATTAATCGCCTTTTCATCTTTGTAAGCTTTCAAATGAAAGAGTCGCTTCAGGGTGATATCTGGAATGGACCCAGTTGGTGATTTTAGTCAAAAATTCTTATCCCTAAAGTGAACCTCAGTAGTGAGCAGAAACACCCCATTCTCCTCCCATCCTGCTTAATAGGCTAATATTTATAAAACACCTCACACAGTGCTCATGGTAAACACCCACAGATAATACCTTTATTTCCCTGCCCGGACAGAATTCTTTCTCAACACTGCTTATATTTACCATGAATAACTGTCATTGTCGTCAATGAGGAGGGTGATAGTCACACCATGTTCATTTCTACTCATATCAAACCTTAAAGAGGACAGCACACTGTAATAGAGAGACAGTAAAAAAAATTCTTCCAGCCGAGACTAAAAATTTACATCTTCTGAGGAATATCTAATGTACTGGGAATGGTTAGCCTGAACTAAGCAAGTATTAGAAGAATTTTGTTTGATAAATGTCTTCAACTGTATGAAGGGCTGTCACGTTGAAGAAGGCTTTGATTTGTTCTGTCCAGGCCCCAGAAGACAGAAATAAGATCAATGAGTGAAAGCATGAAAGAAGTTATTTTTTATGTCTACCTGCTTTAGTAATGTGGTTCTCAGGAATCCCAGGCTAACTGGAGACATAACACTGTTGGTTTGAAAATTTAAGAGACATGGAACCAGGCCTACCCTTTTTCTAGCCCAAATCAGACCACAAAGATCGCACTGAGATCTTTTAAGCTAAAACATTGAACTCTGCTTGCGATTCAGCCCCCTTCCACACTGTGACCTGTAACAAAAGGGACAGGAGACCTGTCTAATCCTAGCTTATCTGGGACCCTGTCTCAGCCCTTGACAGCTAAAGATTTGTAACCCTAGCACGAGGCTCAGCATTATGCTTCAAAGAAGCGAAAAACACGAATATTACATATGCTTGAACCAGTTCATAGTGGGTGGGGTCTGCTGGAAATAACAATGTTATTCTAAAGCAATTTATTGAGAGTAATAGAAAAAAAAAAAGAGGAAAACCATTATGTAAATATAGGCTGTTCATAGCAATTCAAAACCACTTGCCTTGAAGGAATAATGTCAGTAGAGGGGATGTGAAAGTCTTCCCCCAGTGTGAGTTATTATTCCTCCGTGTTGTTCATATCAGGCCTGTATGATTATTAATGACATTTCCTAGGGGCTCTTCATCCTCGAAATCCTGAAATACCCAACATCCATCATTCCACCAACGCCCCTCTGGGCTTAGAGGAATAGTAATGGGCTCTTCTGAGGGGGGCGTGGTGATGGGGGAGGTGATGCCTCTTCCTGACCTCTGGCTTGAGTGTCCTGAGGTAACCAGGAGTCCAGCTGTTCACCCCTGTGAGCAATTATCTGAGCACAACTCTGTCTGCCTACAAAGAAAAACAAGGTGAAACCTCTCCCCTAAGGGAAGGCCGAGAAATTTATTTAAAGTCATAATGAACATAACCTTTTGTATACAGGCCTTGAAAATAATAATAATAATAAAAAAATAATAGACTGGTCAGTAATTTTTTTACTTAATAGCTTTATTTAGATATAATCTCCATATCATAAAAATCACTCATTTTAAATATATGATTCAATAATTTTCAGTAAGGCTACAGTTATACAACCATCACTACTATCTAGTTGTATATCACTTCCACTGCCCACCCCTCAAAGAAACCTCATGTCCATTTACAATCACCCCCTCATTTCTACTCTTGGCCCTAGGCAACCTTGAATCTACTTTCTGTTCCTATGGCTTTTCCTGTTCTGGAAATTTCATATAAATGGAATCATATGTGTATGACTTCTTTCACTGAGCCTAAAATTTTTGAGGCTAATCCATGTCATGGCATGTACGTCATTCCTTTTTATTACCAAATAAAATCCCAATGTATGGGTATACCATATTTGTTTATCTGTTCTTCAGTTGATAGACATTTGGGCTGTTTCCACTTTCACTTGTTGTGAATAGGGCTGCTGTGAACATACATGTACAACAATTTTGAATTTTAAGGGTTTATCTAAAATCTCATCCTATCTCTTCTTTCCAATGGGCTAAAAAATTATTCCAAAGATCCAGATTCTCCCATCTGAGTGCCACCACTTGAACTTATTTTCTTCTCCATATCTTCCTTCACGTCTGCCCTCGCCCATTCTTTTGCAACGAGATCTAGTCCAAAACTTCTTGCTATTCTCCAGAAGGCTATGTAGAATCCATCAACATACCTATTTAAATATCTTATTTCAGACCGTATCCCAACTATTAGAATGTTCTAATCAGCTTCCTTTCATCCTGTCTTAAGATCTTCAACCAACCCCTTCTGCCCTCGCTTTGTGAGGCATAGTATAAAGGCCTGTTTCCAGGACTTGGAGACACAAAATAAGGCCATAGTTCTTAGTGACTTTTAGGTGCAAAAAACCAGATCCGAGACAGAGACAGCCATTATGTAAAACCAGGCACACCTTCTCTAACAACGTGCTTTTTAGCTTACTCAGAAGTTCTAACAATCCCAAAACTCATGGTTGGAAGCTGAAGATTCAATTCTATTTTAGAAAAAAAAAAAAAAATCACTCATTTAAACATGCAGTAAGTTTAAAACTGAGCAATACTTCTATAAAAATAGTGTAAAATATTTCCCCCTTTTATTCAGATTTCAAAGTATAGTACATAGTCACACCTTGTATTCCTTACAAAGAAAGTAAAATTTCCATTTATTCTAGTGTAGACCTAATTCATAATATCCAGTTGGTAAACTTTCTGGCCTTGCTGCTTCAGGAAATTGGACTCCGATATCTAAAGGAAAGCCTGATTTTTTCCTTAATTTCATGCCTTGGCATGTACACATATGCAAATGCAAAAAGCATCAAAATTCCTAGAAACAAGCACAATCACTGACCTTATTTCTTGAGGAAGGATTCCTTAAAGTTTTTTCTGTAAACCAATCGATTCAACCTATAGCCTCAAAGACAATGCTTCAGGGTTTTCCCCTCTGTGTAAAAGGAAAAAGTTGGACACATTTATAGACAGAGCTTCAAAGGTTGAGGAAAAGCCTGTGCGAGCGCCAGGTCTGATGTGACCCCAGGATGTTTTCTCCCAGGTCATTCTTGTCCCCTTCAGATTTCCATTTCCAGTAGTCACCAGGTATGTTCCAGAAGGTGAGTTTTCAAGCGACTCTCTAGAGCTCAGTCTCTCCTATCAAAAAGGTGTGGTATCCCCAAAGCCCTTATTTATTTAATTACCTCACTTAAGAGATGAGGTTGATTCTTAACAGTCAGTTTCTCCTTTCCAATATTTCTGGGGGTAGAGACTTTTGTGAGTACTGCCAAGGGACAGAACAGAATCTAATCATATTAATATTAGGTCTTTGAGAGCTTGTGAATGTCCTATGACTGGTGTGTTGTTGATTGAGAAAATAAATGAACCTCAAGTTGCCTCCACTTGAGGTGGTTATGGAAGAGATCACACTTCGTGGGCACAGCACAGGGAATTGTGCGGCTTGCTAACGTCTGAGGTTTTCTGAAACCCCATGCTTCCATTAACCTCTAGTTAGCTTCAGGTGGCTAAAAGAAGGCAAATAAGAACAAACAATATGTTGATTCCACTTTCCATTGACTCTCTGAGTTCTTCAGGAATTTAATGTCTTTTTCCTATTCATCGATTGTATAATTCCTGTTGCTTTAGGAAGTCACACAATTTTTTCAAACCCTCTTGGCAATTTCCTATCAATAAATGGCAATTCCAACAAAAAATACTGATGGAACAATTTCTATCCAAACCCTCTGACCAGGTGCTGATTCTGTGTTTTGTTCTAGCTTGCTTTTTATTGCCTGATGAATAGAATTTGCTTTGGGAAGAAACAGACAGGCTGTTAGGCTTTGACTTGACTTCAGGAATTCTGACGCAGTTTCAGTTCGGGCCCAGGGAGTTTTTCTGTTCTCTGACTTAATCATGTTTCAGAAAAAAGAGTCCTGAGAATTTGTTTTGTAAAGAATTTTTAAAGCTTTCAGGCTAGAGTCAATGAATAGCTGAAATTCAGAATAATGCAAATTTATCTTTTATCTCATTCCATTGACAAAAGGCCTGTTT